TCCAGCCCCGGGCAAACCACTCGCGCAGCTCCTGCGGAGAGAGGAGCTCCCGCCTCGACGAAGCACCTCCAGAGGCCACACGAGCAGACCCAGCACCCCCACGCTCTGCAACCCCAGGCTCAGTACCCCCAGGCTCCGCACCCCCAGACACTGCACCCCCAGGCTCAGCACCCCTAGACTCAGCACCCCCAGGCCCCGCACCCCCAGACCCGGCACCCGCAGGCTCAGCGCCCCTAGCAGCACCAAAGTCAACAGCTACCTCGACAGGCTCAACTGCGTCTACCTGGGACACACCTGACGGGGCAGGACCCTGAGGGAGCAGAACATGGCGCGAGGTGTTGTGGTAAAACAGTCAACCAGGCGCGTCAGGGGGGAAGCCAAGAAAGACGCAGGGAGCAGCACGCGGGGACAGCTTGTCCGCAGACAAGTCGCGGACAAGCGCCCGAGATCCCCAGACCCGAAACGCAGACGCATCGCCAACCTTCCCCGTCCACCGCAAGGTGGGGGAGGTCTGTGGCAAGGAGACCCGGGGCTGAAGGCTGAGCTGATACGCTACGTACTGAACCGCAAACGGCCATAGAAAATGGGGAGCAGCCGCATGGATCATGGACGTACGAGCGACGTCCATGACCATGCCAATGCGGCGCTCAGCAATCCCATTTTGCTGTGGAGAGGCCGGAAGCGTGAAGGTCTGGCAGATGCCCTGTGCACGACAGAAGGCTCCCAGACGGGCAGAAGAGAACTCCCCACCTCTGTCAGAGTGCAGACGCAGAACATGAAAGTCCGAGCCGAAACTCTCTCTGAGCTGGAGACGATCTGCGCGGATCCAGTCGATCAACACCGCAGTGACGTCACCCTTGCTGCGCAAGGGGAAAACCGTGGTGTAACGCGACTAGTCGTCAACCACCAATAGGAAGTAACGCTCGTGACCCTGGCCACGGACGTGGGCGGGACCCCACACGTCCATGTGAAGAGTTTGCAAGGGAGCCTCTGTCGGAGGAACCTCGGAGGAGTGAGGGGCGGCGCGCTGCCGCCCCTCGACGCAAGGGACGCAGGTAGGGGCAGGCCCCGGAGGTAGGGGAGGGAGGGACCGAGGGAGACCAGAGACAAGGACACGTGAAGCCATGCCTCGGAGACGAGGCAGGAAGGGGTGACCAAGGCGGTGGTGCCAAAGGAGAGTCTGGTGGGACAGGAGACGACACGAGCAGGGCGCTGACTCAGGACCAGACCTAGACGCTGCAGCAAACACCTGACTCGACGCGGCTACCTGACCAGAATCAGCAACAGGAGGAGACTCAGTGGTCAGTGTGTACAGGCTCGACCCGGGCTGACGGGTAAACGTGGCCAAGTGTCGGCCTGTCCGAGCACACGTACAGTGGGTCACCCGCTGACTCGCAGGCGTGAACTGGTCAACCCCCCGATCCTGTAGATCAGCTCCACTCACCAAGTTCGTAGAGAACGAGGGGAGGTAGAGACGTGACAGGGTTCCATAGGGGGATACTGGACACGGTAAGACAGTGGAGAATCTAGCAAGGACAGGACCCCCAGAGGGGTCCGCCAGGGAGACCGCAACTGGCCGACTAAGCGGCGTAAGCGTGGTGCGGTCTCGAAAGAAGGAGCGAGAAGCACCCGAGTCAACGGTGAAGGTGTGCAAGGCCTGAGCCGACGTGGTACCTGAGAGAGCAGACTCACCAGCACCTGGGGCAGCAGACGCACTAGCACCTGGAGCAGCAGCCTCACCAGCACCTAGAGCAGCAGCCTCAATGCCCGGGTCAGGCGTAACGCACAGGTAACAGTCACCGTCATCTCTAGTAGACACAGCATACATGGCAGCAAGAATAGCATCAAATTCAAGATCAAAGATAGCAACCCCCGCCCTAGACAGCTCTACCCAGCGAGGGATCTCAGTGGCGTCAGAGAACTGATGACGCCAAGCGTCCGTCAGGCGCCCGAAGCAGCGCTGGGTGGAGTGCGTGCCCCCGCACTGCTCACCAGCGCGGTCGCCTGTACGGAGGACGTAGGTGCAAGGACTAGTACCCCCACCCCGCTGACGCCCAGCGTACCACTCACGAAGCTGCTGAGGGGACAGGGTCCCACGACTGCGCTACTAGTGCTAGCACGGACCACCACCGGAGCCACTCCTCTGCGCAGAGCCGCGACCAGCTCCACCGCTGCCTCCACCACCTCCGCCACCTCCGCCACCTCCTCCGCCTCCACTACTGCCACCGACACCTCCACCCCCGCCACCACTCCCACCACCACCCCCACCTCCTCCACTACCTCCACCACCACCTCCACCGCCCCCACTAGCCCCTCCAACGCCCTTGCCCTCCTTGCCCTTGTCGGTGCGGCGCTTCCCGATAGGGGCAGACGCAGCGCCGACCGCTTGAAGCCAACGAGGTCGGCCGCAGCAGCAAAAGCAACAGAGGGCAAGAGAGGGGAGGGAGAACACCCCTCAAAGACGGGGTTGTGAGGGTCACCACGAGAGGCTCCTACAGCGACTATGCTCTTCTCTGCTGCTAGGAGGCGCTCCTCGAGGAGGTCAACGGTGAGTGTGGTGGGGCAAACTGAGAGGAAGTGGTCCCTGACTAAGCGAAGGGAGTCAGGGAGCCGGGTGACTATGTAGTAGAGGGTGATGTACATGGGGGGAGGGTTCTTGGCACAGAACTCAGCAGGAAGCGCAGCGCGGTAGCGGGTGTCACTAGTGCGAAGGTGCGTAATGAGGTCAGCGACTGTGGGAAAGGCAGTAAGGTCAGGGAACAGGTACGGTAGCATGAGGCGGCTAAGTGCAGCAGTGGCAGGGGAAGAGTAGCGTGCAACTACAGCGTCGTACAAGGTCTTAGCACTCTTGTACTGGCTAAAGTGCGCACGCTTAGTGGTCAGTAAGTGGCGACGCACAGCAAGACGTGCAGCAGCATCGCGCGTGGCCCACTGTGAGCGAACAGTGCTGTCAGCAGTAGCAGGCGGTCTCGGGTTCAACTCCTGCCTAAGAATGTTTTGGAAATTCAATTGTTAACGTATTCAAAGGAACATGATAGAGATAGTCAGGTGATTCGATGCAGTGCTTTGAATTTCAGAAATATGCCGAAGGTCGACGTATCGATTTATGCTACGGGACATTCTCAAGGCCATGGTCGTTTTTACTGTATCTTTGAAGTTTAGAACACTAATTTCTTGTTGTCCTTCATGTATGACTATGAACATTTAGTTTGATTTTCCTTTTTCAACACAACACAAAGCATAATACAAGTATGTAGCATGAATTTGAATGGACATGGATAAAGAAACTACGGTATAAAAGCTTAAGTAACACCCATCAATCCTAAAGCTCTGCATGTTTGAAACAACATTTTTGCCTCATGCAATTCGAATTTTACATAGATAATGTAGTTATGGAAAACGCAAAACGCTTCGCAACCCTAAGACGATTTCCTGCCTGAGGCGCGCTCCGTGTGCCGCCCTCTAGTCGCGTCCCCTCCCATCAGTGGCCCGTCGCGCCCTCTTAGCGGCCCCTCTCACGGCCCCACGCGGCCCCCTTAGCGGCCCCGTCGCCGCCCTTCACGGCCCCTCGTGGCCCCTTCGCGGCCCCGTCGCCGCCCTTAGCGGCCCCGTCGCCGCCCTTCACGGCCCCTCGCGGCCCCTTCGTGGCCCCGTCGCCACCCTTAGCGGCCTCGTCGCCGCCCCCAGCGGCCCCTTGCGGCCCTTTCGCGGCCCTGTCGCCGCCCTTCGCGGCCCAGTCGCCGCCCTCCGCGGCCCCATCGCCGCCGTTCGCGGCCCCGTCGCCGCCCTTCGCGGCCTCGTCGCCGCCCTCAGCGGCCCCGTCGCCGCCCTTCGCGGCCCCGTCGGCGCCCTCCGCGGCCCTGACGCCACCCTCAGCGGCCCCGTCATCGCCCTTCGCGGCCCCGTCGCCGCCCTCCGCGGCCCTGTCGCCGCCCTTCGCGCCTCCCCCCCCCCCCCCCCCCCCCCCGTCGTCGCCCTTCGCTGCCCTTCGCGGCCCCTCGCGGCCCCTCACGGCCCCTTCGCGGCCCCGTCGCCGCCCTTCACAGCCCCTCTTGGCCTCTTGCGGCCCCCCCTTTGCCGCCCTTCGCGGCTCCCCCGTCGTCGCCCTTCGCGCCCCCCGTCGCCGTCCTTCGCGGCCCCGTCGCCACCCCTCTCGGCCCCTTCACGGCCCTACCGCAGTCGCCACCGCCGCTATCGACAGCAGCAGCAGCTCCCGCCGCTATCGTGGCGGCCGCCGCCACCGCTACCGGGCCCGCAGCCGCCGTCGCCACCTACAGCAGCAGCCGCCATCGCCGCCGCCGCCGCTGCCATCGACAGCAGCCGCCGCCGCCGCCGTCGACAGCAGCCGCCGCCGCCGCCGCCGCTGCCCTGTCGCGGCCCTGTCCCTGCCGACGCGCCTCGGCCCTGCCCCACCACCTGCGGGCCTCTACCCACCCGCCTTGGTAAGAGCACTCCCGAGCAGAGCCTCTGCCACTGACCTGCCCCTTGCCTACTGCTCTTACTGCTAGCTTGCTGCTGCCGTTGCTGTCATGGCTACCCCTAGTGTTCTTTGCTGCTGAGGTTCAGGCTGTCGACTTTGAGGCCTGGGTCGATGATCTACAGCTTTTTCTACAGTGCGATAGGACAGATGGTCTTTCCCTGTTCCATCTCACGTCTGGTGCCTCTACTGCCCCTACTGCTGATGCTGACAGCACTGTTTGCTCACAGTGGGCCACTCGCGATGCTGCTGCCCGTCTTGCAGTGCTTCGTCACTTGCCTACCACTGAGCGTGCGCACTTTAGTCAGTACAAGAGTGCTAAGACCTTGTACTACGCTGTAGTTGCACGCTACTCTTCCCCTGCCACTGCTGCGCTTAGCCGCCTCATGCTGCCGTACCTGTTCCCTGACCTCGCTGCCTTTCTTACAGTCGCTGACCTCATTATGCACCTTCGCACTAGTGACACCCGCTACCGCGCTGCGCTTCCTGCTGAGTTCTACGCCAAGATCCCCCCCCCCCCCCCATGTACATCGCCCTCTACTACATAGTCACTCGGCTCCCTGACTCTCTTCGCTCGGTCGGGGACCACTTCCTCTCTGTTTGCCCCACCACATTCACCGTTGACCTCCTTGAGGAGCGCCTCCTGGCAGCTGAGAAGAGTATAGTCGCTGTAGGAGCCTCTCGTGGTGACCCTCGTAGCTCCTTCTTTGAGGGGTGTTCCCCCTCTCCCCTCTTGCCCTCTGTTGCCTCTGCTGCTGCGACCGACCTCGTTGGCCTCGAGTCGGTCGGCGCTGCGTCTGCCCCTAGCGGGAGATGCCGCACCGGCAAGGGCAAGGGGGGCAAGGGCGCTGGTGGAGCTGGCGGCGGCGGTGGAGGTGGCGGTGGAGGCGGTGGAGGGGGTGGGGGTGGTGGTGGGAGTGGTGGCAGGGGTGGGGGCGGTGGTGGAGGCGGAGGCGGCAACGGCGGTGGCGGTGGGAGCGGAGGAGGTGGCGGTGGCTGAGGTGGCGGTGGCTGCGGTGGCGGAGATGGCGGCGGCAGCGGCGGAGCTGGTCGGGGTGGCTCTGCGCAGAGGGGCGGATCCGATGGTGGTCAGCACTAGCAGCAGCAGCGCGCTCGTGAGACCCCGCCCCCAGAGCAGCTTCGTGAGTGGTACGCTGCGCGTCAGCGGGGTGGGGGTGCTGGTCCCTGTACTTACGTCCTGCGTACTGGCGACCGTACTGTTGAGTAGTGCGGGGGCCCGCACTCCACCCAGCGCTGCTTCGGCCGCCTGACGGACGCTTGGCATCTCCAGTTCCCGGATGCCACTGAGATCCCTTGCTGGGGTGAGCTGCTTAGGTCGGTGGTTGCTATCTTTGATCTTGATTATGATGCTATTCTTGCTGCCATGTATGCTGTGTCTACTAGTGATGAGGGTGACTGTTACTTGTGTGTTCTGCCTGACCCGGGCATTGAGGCTGCTGCTCTAGGTGCTAGTGAGGCTGCTCCTCCAGATGCTAGTGCGTCTGCTGCGTGCTGGTGAGTCTGCTCTCTCAGGTACCACGCCGGCTCGGGCCTTCCACACCTTCACCCTTGACTCGAGTGCTTCCCGATCCTTCTTTAGAGACCGCACCACACTCACGCCGCTTAGTCGGCCAGTGTCGGTCTCCCTGGCCGACCCCTCTGGGGGTCCTGTCCTTGCCCACTTCTCCACTGTCTTACCGTGTCGTGCGGCCCCCTCTGACACCCTTTCACGTCTTTACCTCCCCTCGTTCTCTACGAACTTGGTGAGTGGTGCTGACCTACAGGATGGAGGGGTTCACCAGTTCACTCCTCCGAGTCAGCGTGTGACCCACTGTACGTGTGCTCGGATGGGCCGACACTTGGCCACGTTTACCCGTCAGCCGGGGTCGAGCCTGTACACAATGACTAATGATTCTCCTCCAGTTGCTGCGTCTGGTCAGGTAGATGCGTCGGGTCAGGTGTTTGCTGCAGCGTCCAGGTCTGGTCCTGAGTCTGCCCCCTGCTCGTGTCGTCTCCTGTCTCACCAGACTCTCCTCTGGCACCACCGCCTTGGTCACCCCTGTTAGAACACTGTAGCTTATGCATTTTGTGTAGGCTGTAGTGGGGTATCCCATAAGGGGTACAACCCAATTAGGGTTAGTACTTGTACCCACTTGTTTCATAGTTCATTCATTCTCGTTTCTTCTCATGGTATCGAGCATGTTCCCTAACGGGAACGTTTCCTAGGGCCCACCACTACGAATTTTTTTTTCCTGCTCGGAGCGCGCTCCACTCAGGCCCGTGTCGTGCTCAGTGTGCTCTCCCTACCGTCGCGCCCTCGCTAGGCCCCTCACGGCCCCGTCGCGTCGCCCTTAGCGGCCCTCTTACGGCCAGTCGCGCCGCCCTTAGCGGCCCTCTTTCGGCCCGTCGCGCCGCCCTTACATCCGTCACGCCGCCCTTTTGGCCCGTCGCGCCGCCCTTCAGCGGCCCCAACGCGCGGCCTCTTTCGCGGCCCCGTCGTACCGTCCTCAGTGGCCCGTCGCCGCCCTCCACCTACGGCCTCGTCGCCGCCTCTTCAACGGCGTCGCCGCCTCCCCTTACGACCCGGTGCTGCCTCTCACAGCGGCCTCGTTGCCACCTCTTACAGCGGCCCCACCGACCCCGCGCGCCGCCCTAGCGGCCTCTTGCGCCGCCCGTCGGCCCCGCGTGCCGCCCTTGCGGCCCTTCGAGCCCCCCCGTCGGCCCAACGTGAGCCGCCCTAGCGGCATCGACGCCGCCCTTCCCGGCCCCGACGCCACCTCGGCGGCTCCGGCACCGCCCTTCCCGGCCCCGACGCCGCCTTCCCGGCCTCGCCGCCGCTCCACCTGGCCTTGCCGCCGCTCCACCTAGCCCCTCGAGCCGCCTTCTGCGGCCTCCTCACGGCCCCACCGTCGTCCCTTAGTCAGGAGCCACCGCCGCCGAGCCGCCCAGCAACCGAGCCGCCGGGCCGCCGAGCCGCCCAGCAGCCGAACCGCCGAGCCGCCCAGCAGCCGAGCAACAGAGCCGCCAAGCCACCAAGCCGCCTAGCAGCAAAGCCGCCGAGCCGCCCAGCAGCCGAGCAGCCGAGCCGCATTGCCGCCGAGCCGCCGAGCAGCAGAGCCGCCGAGCCGCCCAGCCGCCGAGCCGCCCAGCAGCCGAGCCGCCGAGCCGCCCTTCAGCCGGCCCGAGTCGCTCGAGCCGCCAAGTCGCCCGAGCCGCCGAGTCGCCCGAGCCGCCCTGTTCGGTAAGAGCAGCGCCTCTACCCCTGCACTGCCCTTACCCTACTGTTCACGCTGCTAGTCTACTGCAGTCATGGCTACCCCTAGTGTCCTCGCTTTTGACGCTGAGGGTAGGGCCATTGACTTTGACGTCTGGGTAGATGACCTGCAGCTTTTCTTACAGTGCGATAGGGCAGATGGCCTCTCCCTCTTTGACCTCACTTCTGGTGCCTCTCCTGCCCCTGCTGCTGATGCTGACGCCACTGTTCGCTCACAGTGGACCACGCGCGATGCTGCTGCACGTCTTGCTGTGCGTCGCCACCTGCCTACCTCTGAGCGTGCGCACTTTAGCCAGTACAAGAGTGCTCAGACCTTGTACAACGCTGTAGTTGCACGCTACTCTTCCCCTGCCAGTGCTGTGGAGGCGGAGGCGGAGGCGGCGGTGGCGGTGGGAGCGGAGGTGGCGGAGGTGGCGGCGGAGGAGGAGGCGGAGGCGGAGGAGGTGGAGCTGGTCGGGGTGGCGCTACGCAGAGGGGCGGCTCCGGCGGTGGTCAGCGCCAGCAGCAGCAGCAGCAGCGCACTCGTGACATCCCCCCCCCTCAGCAGCTCCGTGAGTGGTACGCTGCACGCCAGCGGGGTGGGGGTACTGGTCCGTGCACCTACGTCCTCCGCACCGGCGACCATGCGGGTGAGCAGTGTGGGGGTGCGCACCCCACCCAGCGCTGCTTTGGCCGCCTGACGGACGCTTGGCGTCACCAGTTCCCTGAGGCCACAGAGATCCCTCGCTGGGGCGAGCTGTCTAGGACGGGGGTAGCTATCTTTGACCTTGACTTTGATGCAATTCTTGCTGCTATATATGCTGTGACTATTAGTGATGAGGGTGAATGTTACCGCTGTTTTCCGCCCGACCCGGGCATTCAGACTGCTGCTCTAGGTGCTGGTGAGGCTGCTGCTCTTGGTGCTAGCGAGACTGCTGCTCTTGGTGCTGGTGAGGCTGCTGCTCTTGGTGCTAGCGAGGCTGCTGCTCTAGGTGCCAGTGCGTCTGCTTCCTCAGGTGCTGGTGAGTCTGCTCTCTCAGGTACTGCGTCGGCTTCGGCCTCCCTCACCTTCACCCTTGACTCTGGGGCTTCTCGCTCCTTCTTTCGAGACCGCACCACACTCACGCCGCTTGGTCGGCCAGTTGCAGTCTCTCTGGCAGACCCCTCTGGGGGTCCTGTCCTTGCTCACTTCTCCACTGTCCTCCCGTGTTCGGCGGCTCCCTCTGGCACCCTGTCTGGTCTTTACCTCCCCTCGTTCTCTACGAACTTGGTGAATGGTGCTGACCTACAGGATGGAAGGGTGCACCAGTTCACTCCTGCGAGCCAGCAATTGACACACTGCACTGAGGCTCGTACGGGCCGACACTTGGCCACGTTTACACGTCAGCCGGGGTCGAGCCTGTACACACTGACCACCGCGTCTCCTCCAGTTGCTGAGTCTGGTCGGGTAGCTGCGTCTGGCCAGGTGTTTGCTGCAGCGTCCAGGTCTGGTCCTGAGTCTGCCCCCTGTTCATGTTGTCTCCTGTCTCACAAGACTCTCCAGTGGCATCAGCGCCTTGATCACCCCTCCCTGCCTCGTCTCCGAGGCATGGCGGCCCGTCTCCTTATCTCTGGTCTTCCCCGGTCCCTCCCTCCCCTTCCCTCGGGGCCTTCCCCTGCCTGCGTCCCCTTCGTCGAGTGGCGGGAGTGTGCTGCCCCTCACTCCTCCCAATTTCCCCCGACAGAGGCCCCGCTGCAGACGCTTCACATGGACGTGTGGGGCCCAGCCCGCGTCCGTGGACAGGGTCACGAGCGCTACTTCCTGCTAGTGGTTGGCAACTACTCGCGTTACACCGCAGTCTTCCCCTTGCGCAGCAAGGGTGATGTCACTGAGGTGCTGATCGACTGGATCCGCGCAGCTCGTCTCCAGCTCAGGCAGAGCTTCGGCTCGGACTTTCCTGTTCTGCGTCTGCACTCTGATAGAGGCGGAGAGTTCTCCTCTGGCCTCCTGCGAGCCTACTGTCGTGCACGAGGCATCCGCCAGACCTTCACGCTTCCGGACTCTCCACAGAAAAATGGGACTGCTGAGCGCCGCATTGGCATGGTCATGGACGTCGCTTGTACGTCCATGATGCATGCGGCTGCCCCCATTTTCTGTGGCCGTTTGCGGTTCGGTACGCGGCGCATCAGATCAACCTTCAGCCCAGGGTCTCCATGCCGGAGACCTCCCCAGCCTTGCTGTGGACGGGGAAGGTTGGCGATGCGTTTGCGTTCCGTGTCTCGGGATCTCGGGCGTTTGTCCGCGACTTGTCTGCGGACAAGCTGTCCCCTCGTGCTGCTCCGTGCGTCTTCCTGGGTTTCCTCCCTGACGCGCCAGGGTGGCAGTTCTACCACCCCACCTCTAGCCGTGTTCTGTCCTCCCAGGACGTCACGTTTGAAGAGTTGGTCCCCTACTACCGCCTCTTCCCCTACCGCACTCCATCCCTTCCCTCGCCACCGCTCTTCCTTGTGCCAGGTTCCCACCCGGTAGACCCCCTCCCCCCTCAGGGTCCTGCCCCTTCAGGTGTGTCCCAGGTAGACGCAGTCAAGCCTGTCGAGGTTGCTGGTGACTCTGGTGCTCCTGAGGGTGCTGAGCCTAGGGGTGCTGACTCTTGGGGTGATGAGCGTGTGGGTACTAACCCTGGGGGTGCTGAGCCTGAGGGTGCTGCTACTGGGGGTGCTCAGCCTGGGGGTGCTGAGCCTGGGGGTGCTGTGACTGGGGGTGCTGAGCCGGGGGGTGCTGAGCCTGGGGGTGCTGAGCCTGGGGGTGCTGCGATTGGGGGTGCTGAGCTTGGGGGTGCTACGCCTGGGGGTGCGGAGCCTAAGGGAGCTGGGCCTGCTCGTGTCGCGTCTGGCGACACTGTGCCAGGAGGTTCTCCGGGTGCTTCGTCTCGGCGGGAGCCACTCTCTCCAGAGGAGCTGCGCGAGTGGTTTGCTCGGCGCTGGTGGCGTGCTACTGGAGCTTGAGCTCCTGAGGGTGTTGGCGCTGGGGCTACTGCTGGCGGTCATGCTGGGGGTGCTACTGGTGCTGCTAGAGGTCTTGGAGCTACTGGAGCTGCTGGAGATCCTGGAGCTGGAGGTGCTGCTGGCGGTACTGGCGCTGTCCCTGCTGTGTCTGGAGTCGCCGTGCGGCCTCGGCCGTACTTCGTTCCGCTCCTTCAGCAGGTTCTTGGTCTTCCGTCTTCTGCTGGTCCTCCTCCTTCCTTAGAGTGTCCACAGCCTGTCCCGTCGCAGTTACAGTTACAGCCGGCCCCCCCTTTGCCTGCGCCTTCTCCCTACACTGGTCCTACTGGAGGTCTTGCTGCGCGTCGCGAGCTTGCGTCTCGCCCTGCATCTCCTGTCCGTCCTGCACGCACTAGTGGTCGTGGTTCGCGTCTGCGTCCTCCTCCTGTCCCTGGCACGCACCGGATGTCTCTGCGTCCGTCCACTGCTCCCCTGCGTGCCCCTTTGCCTTCTCCCGTCTGCTCTTGCCGATGCGGAGTCGGACTCTCTTCGTGCTGCCAGTCCTACTATCACGCGTCTCCTTGCTACTGTCGTCACTCACCCTTCCTTTGAGTCCACTGTTGCGTCTGCCCTAGTTGTTGAGCTCGTCGACTTTGCTGCTCGCTGTCGCCTAGACTATGCTGCTAGTCTTGTCGCTGAGTCTGAGTCTGTCTGTCCTCCGTCAGTCGGGGTTGAGTGTGCCCTTAGCACGGACGTCCTTGAGGACATGCAGGAGGAGTTCCAGTGTCTGGCTGCTGCTTCACCTCATCTCGTGCCCGTACTTCTTACCCCTGAGGGAGACCCGGATGCACT